CTCGCCCCCTCGCTGCGGGGTTTCCCGCAGAGCTCGAGTGGCGCAAGGACCGGCCGCTTCCGTTCAAGTCGAAGGAGCTCGAGCAGCAGTGGATCCAGTACTACATCGACGACTGGGACCATGGCGAGGTGGTGCCCAACGCGATGGTCGCGGAGCTCCTCGGCACGATGAGCTGCGCGCAGGAGGAGCAGAGGGCCGCCTACGGCCGCTCGGGGATCAGCGTCGCCCCCGGCAAGGCCAAGCACCGCGCGCTGGTCCTGGAGCGGATGGGCGCGGGTCTTGACGGGGCCGTCGGCCGGGTCGGAGTCACGACCGAGAAGCTGCACCAGCTGCTGGCGTTCATCCTGTGGGGCATGGGCAGGCAGGGCCTCTCGTCACAGGGCATGCTCATGATCCTAGGCAGGTGCGCCAGGGCAGCGGAGTTCAGGAGGCCTTTCATGGGATTCCTCAACAGCGTGTGGGCTGCTGGACGCTGGACGCGTCCGCAGACTGTTCCCCTTGGCATGTGCGACGAGCTCTTGGGCTTCGCGATGGCGCTGCCGCTGGCCTACACTGACCTGCGCGCGAAGATCGACACTTGTGTCATAGCGACCGATGCCAGCGAGCGCGCCGGGGGCATCTGCCACACGGCCGGGCTCTCGGCGCAGGGCGTTGCGTGCGCGAGAGGGGGAGCTTCGGCTGTGACGTTGCGGCCTGGTGCAGTTGCGGCCCCTGTGCGGGGTGTGCGGTGGCGCCCTCGCATAGTTCTCATCGAGCTCTTCGCTGGCGCCGCGGGGGCCGCGGTGGCGGCCTCCAGACTCCCGATCGACGTGATGGCCCATGTCAGCTGCGAGGTCGAGCCCGCCGCCCGGCGACTGGTGCGTCGCCGCTGGGCGGGCGTGATCGAGCTTGGCAACATCGAGGCCGTCGACACGGCGCGGTTTACTGAGATGCTGAAGGGCTACGCGCGGGACGCCGACTGGGTCGTCCTGACCGCGGGGAGCCCGTGCCAAGACCTGGCGAGCATCAATGTCGTGGGGACCGGCCTGGAGGGGTCGAGGTCGAGGCTCTTCTTCCGGGTCCCCGAGCTGATCCAGGCAGCAGAGGCTGCCTTTCCCAAGCGCACCATGTGGTTCGTCGAGAACGTGTTCAGCATGACCTTAGAGTCGAGGGCGGAGTTCACCAGGGCGCTTGGCGTCACACCCGTGTTCCTCGATGCCAGGTGTCTCACTCACGTCAGGCGGCCCCGCCTGTACTGGTGCTCGTGGCCCGTTACGGCGTTCTTGGCGTCCGACGCCACCGTCGAGACCAAGGGTGTGGGTGAAGCCACGTACTTCAAGGTCTCGCTTGCGGTGGAGAGGCTCCCACTGGGTGCCTCGCTCCTGGAGGGCTGGTCGACGCTGGACCCTGAGGCAGACCTCCCTTGTTTCACGAGGCCGATCCCGCGGAGTCACCCGCCGTTTCGGCCCGTGGGCCTCGACCGCGCCTCGGTGAGGGCTGCAGAGCGCTGGGCTGCCGACAGCTACCGTTACCAGGTCAACAACTACGAGGACGGCAGCCTCATCTGGGATGCAAGGCGTGAGCGGGGCCGGCTGCCCGTGCCTGAGGAGCGTGCTGCCCTGATGGGGTTCGACCGTCTCTATTTCCAGGCCGCTGTAAAAGATAGTGCACCTGCCGCCGAGCGTGACAGCGTCATTGAGTCTCTGATCGGGAATACGTTCTGCGTCCAGGCTGTCATGTATCTTCTCGGCTCGTGGCTCGCTCAGGTGGGGGCGCTAGCGGCCGCCATCCCGGGCAGCAGCTGCCTCGCTGTGGGCACGTGCGAGGCGAACTGGAACGTGGTTCCCGACTTCCAGCAGCCGGGACATCGCGACCCGCGGTTGGAACGCAGCCTGATCGTGGAGTTCCTGAGGGTCGCGGACCGCGGGGGCACGGACGTCCGGCTTGACACCGGGGCACCCTACCGAGCCCGCGCGTGGCCGCGGGCAGCTCTCCGTACGCACCTCTGGGCCTGGCGGATCGCCAAAGGGTTTCGCTGGCAGCGGCCCGGGCGCATCTCGGCGCTGGAGCTGGAGGCTGCAGTGGCTGGAGCGCGCTGGAGGTGCCGAGCGGTTGAGAACCACCGCTCCCGCTACCTGCACATACTGGATGCCCAAGCGATCGCGGCAGTCAGCACCAAGGGCAGATCGAGCGCGAGGGCTTTGCAGCCCGCGCTCCGCCGTCTCAACGCCCTCCTCCTCGCGACGGCAGGGTACCCGCTGTACGGCTACTGCGACACCGACGACATGCCCGCCGACACGCCGTCCCGCTGGAGCTTCGGCCGCCGCTGCCTCGCTCCCAGTGCGGCCGCCGGCAAGGGCCAGGAGGGCCGCCCCCAGCAAGCGTGCAGCACAAGCAGCGGCAAAGGTGAGCCGGGTCACAGCTCAGGCGATGGCGCGACGAGCTGCAGCGAGATCCCAACCGCTGAGGGAGGCGATGGTCACGCCACTCACCCTGCAGCGGTACCGTGCGGCAGTCGATGAAGTCGTTGATTTCTGGATCCAGGAGCACCGGCAGCCGCAGACGCCCGCTCAGGTCGACGCTGGCGTGGCCGCCTTCATTGAGAGCCGCTGGCTGAGCGGAGGATCTTTGTTCGAAGTTAATAATGCTATTGCTGGCATCACGCACGCTTTCCCGCCCGTGCGAGGGCACCTGCGGGACAGCTGGCGCTTGGCCAAGACGTGGCAACGACTGGAGCCAGCTGGGCGGGCGCTGCCGATTGGTCCGCTGATCGCGGCAGCATTCGCTGGTGCATTTGCAGCCGTAGGCCAGCTCGGTGCTGCGGCGGTGCTGGCTGCGGGCTACGATGCTTTCCTCCGGACGGGTGAGATGACCTCGCTCGTGTGGTCCGATGTACAGCTGTACCCACTCCGACGAATGGCCGTGCTGCAGCTGCGCAACGCCAAGAGCCAGCATCAGACTGGTGCCCGAGAGTTCGTGCTCGTGCGGAGTGGTGTAGCGGTCGCCCTCCTTGCTAGAGCAAAGGCTCAGGCGCACGGACAGGACTTGTGCCTCGGAATGGAGCCAAACAGTTTCATGAACACTTTCAGCCGAGTGCGTGAGCTGCTGGAACTGCAGGATGCTAAGCTCACCCTCTACAGCTGGCGGAGGGGCGGCGCCTCCGCCGACTTCCGCAGCCATGGCTCCATGGAGCAGACGCTGCTCCGAGGCAGATGGGCCTCGGCGCGCACGGCCCGCTTGTATGTCCAGGATGCCGTCGCCGAGGCCACTCAATTAAATCTCTCGCCCGCGCAGCGGAAGCGCTGCGGCCTGCTCGCGTCCCGCCTGCGAGCAGAAGCGAGATGAACTTTTCTTGCTTTGTACTGCCTGTCTGTCTGTCCCGCCCATCCTCCACCTTTCTTCCCTCATTTCATTACAACGAGGTGGAGGGCATAAGTAAGAGCAAGAGGGAGCGGCTTTTGCCAGAGTAGGGACCGTGGAGAGAGCTAGGGGGTTCAGGGGTTGGTGACGTTTAACCTCCCGGCGGTGCAAGTGTGTCAGCGCGTCTGGGACGCAGCGCGGGTGCTTAAGCGCCACGGCTGTGCCAGGCGGGTTGGGAGGCCCTTGGATGCCGCTGAAGGGACGGGACCTCTCCCAACTCCTGGAATGACCCCTGAGTAGCCCCCAGAGGTCCTGGCCTGACAAGCTCCCTGGCGGAGTGCACAAAAACAGGTGAGAGAAGCATATATGAACCTTCCAAGGAAACCTATGCGGAGTCCACCTGAGCGTGCGCGACGCCGTTGATGGATAACGGTTGAGTTTCATCCATCTGCCGTAGCTGTGTTGGCCCACCCACAGACAGGGGGCAGCATTGCTACCGTCTCGCGCGTGGCCGTGCCTGCCTCCGCGCGAGTATTTGCCAGGACGAGAGAGCTAGGGGGTTCAGGGGTTGGTGACGTTTAACCTCCCGGCGGTGCAAGTGTGTCAGCGCGTCTGGGACGCAGCGCGGGTGCTTAAGCGCCACGGCTGTGCCAGGCGGGTTGGGAGGCCCTTGGATGCCGCTGAAGGGACGGGACCTCTCCCAACTCCTGGAATGACCCCTGAGTAGCCCCCAGAGGTCCTGGCCTGACAAGCTCCCTGGCGGAGTGCACAAAAACAGGTGAGAGAAGCATATATTTATATGTGTGTAGTTACGTATATATATAACTATAGGTACATCTTCTCGAACATCTACCCATATAATTCTACATATATAATTATATATATATCAACCATCAAGACAACCATCAGGACAACCATCGGGACAAACACCAGGACACAATCGGGACAACCATCGGGACAATCAGCGGGACAACCATCAGGACAACCGTCGGGACAACCCTCGGGACAACCATCGGGACAACCGCTTGGACAACAGCCGGGACAACCGAGGGCCACGCCCGGCACTCGGGGGGCGGCCCTTTGGCAATACATGGCTTCTACTAAGGATGGAAATCGCGAAGATTCGCCTCGCCACACGAACCGAAACCGAAACCGATTTCCTGGTTGCGGCCGCTTCCGTTCCAAACCCCCAACCTCAGAGATTTTCTGACGCCTTGGATCTCCAGCAATTGATGTGTTTCAGGTTCTCCAAACAGTTTTTTTCCCAACGGTTGCCCTTGGCCCTGAGTGCAGATCACGATGGGCGCCTCCGACCACCGTGATTCCCACGGTGGTGACACCAGGAAGCTTGGGCCAACCGACAGGGTTAAGGCACCCCAGATCCATCTTTTCAAGGCCTTCCCTCCCTCCTTCGTTCCTCCTTCCTCCCTCATTCGACCACTACGTGCGACCACGTGGGATAGCCTGTTCCTGTTCTTGTTCCTCCCTCCATGCACCCTTCCTCCTTCCCTTCCCTCCTTCCTTCCCCCTCGCCCCCCTCCTCCCCTACTCCGCCTCCCTCCCCTTTCTTCCCTCCTCTCGCTCTCCTCCCTCCCTTCCTCCCTCCCCCTTCCACCCCCCTTTCCGTCCCTGCTCGGCAGTGGAGAGCTCCTGATGAGGGCCGGGCGCGGCACCTGCGAGGTCTTCCGCGGCCAGAAGCAGCGCAAGCTGCTGGAGAGCTGGATGGCGACGGGCGACGGCGCGCGCACGCCCCCGCCTGGGGCCAGAAGGGGCGGGCTCCTCCCTCCCGCCTTCGCCCGTTCGGGGGTGGACAGAACCCCCAACAGTGACACGTCGATTAGTGAATTGTCCGTTTTCGGTTCTCGAGAGGGCGCCGTGGCCGTTGTTTTCCAGGCTTGCGCCCACCAGGTTTGGGCCTCAGGTCGTTTTCACTAAACCACGTTTTACCAAAGGGGGGTCTGTCCTCCCCGACCCGTCCCTCGTTCGTCCCTCTTCCCTCCGACAACCGTTCTGGCTCGAGCTCCTCGTGTTGCAGGCCTCGCCGCCGCGCGTCCTGATGCCGGGCTCGTCCGCGGGTGCCCGCGCTGCTGCGCCGCCGGAGGCCGTGCGTGGTGCGGCCCTGGCGGCGCGCGCCGCCGCAGGGCCGTCCAGCTGCGTCGAGCTTCGAGAGGTGGTCCGACTCGCTCGTGCAGCTGAAGGTCCACTCCGGGCGGCGGTAAAACGACGCGAAGATCGGGACAAAATCGGATTGGGATATCTCGAAATCTCTGAGACTCGGCGGGTTTGGAGGATGTATGGGGCGCCGCGGCCGCTCCAGAGCGTTCCGGAACGCTCGGAGAGCGCTCCGGGACGCTCTGGAGCGATTTGTCCGATCCTAGCCCTGTTTTAGGCGGTGGCCGATGTAGCCAGGCCCGCTCCTCCCGAGCCCGCTGCGGCGCCCTCAGCGGAGCCCGCGGCTGCTCCTCGGCGGCGGCGCCGGCCTCGTGGCCGCGGTGGCGCGCTGCGCTCGGAGGTGGGCGGCAAGCAGGACGTCGCCCCGGGAAGTGCGGACGTCGCTCGTGGGGCGGCTGGGGCTGCAGTTCCGAGGGCTGCTGCACTTGCCATGCCGATGCTGGGGGGCGACAGGTGGGCTGAGGATTCGCCGCTGGTGCAGCAGCGGGGCCGCCCGCCTTCCAGCACGGCTTCGCGCGAGGGCCAGAGCAACCACACCGGCGATGGCGACGAGTACAGTGGCAAGGGCAGGCATGCTGGATTGAAGATCTGGCAGCTTCGGCAGCTCGTCGACCGCCTGGCGAAACGCGCGGGGCTGCCAATGGTGCCCGAGCAGATCCCCTTCCGCCGCGAGGAGCTGATCGCAATGGCCTGCAACTTCGAGGAAATGCAGTCCGCGCGCGGCGGTTCCAGCGCGGGCTGCGGCTCTGGCGCGTCATATTCGAGCTGTGCTGGTGCCTGCTCGGCGTGGTGCACGTTGGCAGCGGTACGTCCTTCATGGCGGAGGTCGGCGTGATGATTGTCGCCACGCTCGGCTTCGTGAAAGCCGTGGACTGCTTCGTGTTCGCGGTCCCCGTGTCTTCTTAGCTTGCCGGTCATTTACGACCCGGGTCACGCCGACGAGTGCGCCGGCGATGTCCTGCGCGGCAACTTCACATCAGGCTTGCCTACATGGTGGTTCCAGGGTTCGTCGGCCCCGACATCTGAGTGCCATCTGGCGAGCGCTCAAACGTCGCTGTCCACCAAGCTGGATGACATTCACCACCTCCCGAGCTACTTCACCTCCATCGACGACGGCGCCAACATTATGGAGATCTGCGGCGGGGAGGCGCGGACCAGCAAACTCGCTGTCCGCCGCCGCCTCAGGGCAGGTGCCGACTTCGACTTGGCCACGGGCTGCGACTTCAACGACGAGAGTCAGCAGAGGAGAGGGCCGTAGAGAGGTTTATCTAACAAAATCGGCCCCTAATGGCCATCATGGCCCCCCGCCTGTCGGCCTTTCGGTCGTTGAGCTATCCCTTTAGAAGCGCTGCTGCACGCGCTGCGGATTCTGCGGCTACATAGCATAAATTCAGCTGCAGTTCGTCGGCTACTTCGTCGACGGGCAGCCCGATCCCATGCGGCTATGCGACGGGCCGCCGTTGCCGGAGGTGCCAGTGGCACCGGGCGTGCACGAGGCCATCTTCGTCTAGCGCCGACACGGGCTTCAAGATCATCGCGGGAGCATCCTGAGGAAGTCCACATGCTCGGCCTCCGACGCCCCAGAGATCGTCGAGCAGTTCGCGAACTCAGGTGCACCGGCGGGCACGCCCGCGACAGCATCGACGCCCGCCAGCTTTGGAGGATGGCCGGGCGGCTTGTCCAGGGCATATTGGACTTGCGCCGCCGCCTGAGACGCGAATGCGACGTCGAAGCGGCAGCCCCCCCATCAGTGGCCTCTGGGGCCACGGGGAGCGAAGTTAGGAGTGCGACGGCCGCCGAGCGCGCTCGCGCTACCCAGCGCAGGCGCAATATCCGAGCGGACTCGCCGGCGCAATCTCCGGGCCCGGCCGCGCGCCGGCGTCCGCGCGGCGCCCGAGATCACCAGGGGTGCCTTGGCTGCGGCGAGGAGAAGGAGTGCGACCGCCCTGCTTGCGCTCGCGAGTTCAGCAAGCGCAGGTTCGCGGGCCCCCGCGCCCAGCCGCGCCCGCGCGACGGCCAGCGCCCGCGAGCAGCGGCGCGACCTGGAGGACCGCGCCCATCCAGTGATCAGCATGCCCTCCTACCTGGCGGAGCCGACCTCGGAGCAGCGGACCACTTGCGCCTGCGTCCGCATCGTTGGAAATCCTCGCGGGCCCCAGCGGTCCCGCGGCGGAGGTGACGGGTGGATTTTTTCCTGAGAGTCCCCGCCGCATGTGGCGCCCCGCTCGGCGCGGTGCGTAGGTTTGGTGTTCGGCGGCGTGCGAAAGCTACGCGCCGTGCCGCGCCTGGTTTTCATCGACGGCCTCAGAGTCTGTCGTCGAGTACTCTCGTCGACCCACTTGGGTCGACAGGTCGGCGCGCGCGCCCTCGCTGGGCTCGCAAGGGGGCGCGCCGGCGCAATCGGCGCTCCACGACGCCAGGGGCCCCTGAAATTTCGAGGCTCGGCGCGGTGATCGCGATCAATTGTCGTCCGCGTGCATGCGGCGAATCGCGCGGCGCGCGCGCGAGAGCTACGCGACTAACGCCTTTGGCGGCGCGCCGCTGAGGGTTGAATGCCGCGACCTCTTCGGGCGGCCAATCTGCCGCGGGCAATCTTCGACCTCATCCCCGCAGTGGCCCGCGCTTGTCGGGGATGTTGCTCGTAGCTACCGCCCGAGCATCATGCCACCCCCGCGCCGCGCCTTCCGACGCGATTCAGCCACCGCGTCGAATGCGACATACATTGATGCGAGGACCCCATGCTCTTGCGCTTGATCTGCCGCTCCGCGCGGTGGCACAGCGGCCGGGATATCGCGGGCAGGCGCGGCTCGATGCCGCTGGCTGCCGTCGACCTTTCGCGGGCCCAGCTGTTCGGCGCGATGGGGGCCGTCATCGTGGGCGGCGAAGGCGGCGCAGCCCCGGCGCATTTCGTGGAGGAGATGCGGCGAAGAGGGGCGCAGGTAGACGTCTGATTTCCGCGCCAGCGCGCTCGTTTCATACAGCGGCGCGGCGCCATCTGACGAAATTTATTTCACGCAGCAGAGGAAGATGTAGAACGCGTAGGTATCGAGGCCAACTTCGACTCTATGCTGCTCAGGCGGCGTTTGCGGGCGACGGCCTTGCCCGCGCGGGCGAAGTTCCACCTTTCAATGTCGTTTTTCGGCGGGCAGCCCTCCGTGCTTGCACCGCCCGAGGCAGGCGAAGCGGGCGAGGCAGCCGGAGTCTGCGACGCCGGCGCCGCCCATCTGCTGGCGGAGAAGTGCAGCCCAGCCGACTGCAGTGGCGCATCCGAGAGAACGCGCTGCAACGCGTGGTCGAGGGTACTTCGATGTCCCGCGTCAGCCGCGCCCCTTGGAGACGCGCCGCCGAAGTCCGAGAGGGGGTCAACGTTGCCGACCGGGTGGGGACCCGCCGGCCTCCGAGCGCGAAAGACGTGTCAGGCTGGGCAGGACTTGGCATGATCGCCTCTGTGGACCCGGCTAGGGGCAACTCAGGCTGCTGTCAAGTGCTGCCCCGAGATGGTCTGCAGACTGCTGGGCGCACGGGCTCTCATCGGCGCCGTCTTCGACGAAGTGGCACCGCGTTGGCGCGAGCAGGCGTGGCCTGGGATCTCGCGGAGGACTGCCTGGAGGACGTCGCACCAGGTTCCGGAGCGAGGACCTCCGGCCACCGGGGGGGCGCGGAGGGCGCGCAGATGACTAGGCAGGCTCGGCAACGCCCCGACATCCTCGAGTCTCTGCGCCACTTGTCCCGCAGATGCTTTGAGCTGCCTGACGTTCGTGCAGCACGTTTCATACGCAGCCAGAAGTCTGCGGGCGACTGGCAGGGCAGCGCCCGCGGCGCGGGCATCTGGCGGCCCCCTCGTGACCCGAGCGACGTCCGACAGCCGCGCCTGGGCGGCGTCGCATTCGACGCCCGCCAGCTCATCGGCGAGCAGGGGAGGGGTGCTCGCATCACCCAGTTCATCTTGGGCAACGAACAGCTGCTTGCAGCAGACGCCGGGCAGGGCCAAGACGAGGCCCTCGATGAATGCGCCATCGACGCCCGCGAGGGCGCCGCCAGCGTCGCCGAGGGTGGTTCACCATCGGCCCTGTCGGTCATGCCCGAAGGGGCCGACAGCGAATTCTCCGGCCACATCCACCGAGTGACGCTGGCAGCCCGGCGCGAAGTCGAGGGGGCAGAGGATCTGGCCCAGGAGCTGCAGGAGCTGTGGATCGCTGACAGCTGGAAACAGATCTCAGCTGCCGCCGAGCAGGCCGCGGCCGACCTGGCGTGGAGGCGCCGCGCCAGCGTCGGAGCATCTACGCGCAGCGCTACCACTTCCCGCCGGTGCCTCCGCAGACGACAACGCCGCGCTAGAGGAGGGAGATGAAGGAGGATAACATGTCGAGTCGCACCGTGGCCCAGGGGCGCGCGAAGCATCCTTGAGCTGCACCGCGGAACTGCCCGCGCAGTAACTGCGTTGTCGCCGCTTCCGCGGCGGCCGCGCGCTGGGCCCGCGCCGCCGCCGAGACCGCGATCGTCGAGCGCGACGCCGACCTTCTTCCGAGGAAGATGCGCCGAGGCCGTCGAAGGTGGTCGCCGCGGCTACCCTCGAGGAGCACG